TATATATATATATAAACTTTTGCCTTTCACAGTTGTGCTAAGCAGCATATGGGTCACTTTATAGCATATGAAAGAGAGACCAGAGCACATCAGGCCCCTCTCAGCTAAATAAATCCTAGTTAGTTCCAAAAACCCATGACATCATTTAGGAGTTTAGTGGAGGAGGGAGTGGTGAATAGCGCATCATAATTAATGACACATTCTGTGCAGCTTTTATATGCTGGAGCTGTTTAAATTTTTACCATCTTTTACGTCAGCCCACACCCCTGTACTGCTTTATGTCTATTCTTTATGTTTTCGTCTACATGACAACTGTTTAATGGCATGCAATTAACTGTTATGAGACAAAAAACAAATGTAATCAACCCATAGACAGCATTCTAACGACAGCACAAACCCTGGAGTGATCCTGGAGTCCTCATTTAAACTGAGTGTGTATACATTGGACAGCACTAGGCAAATACATGCCAGGGCCCCAAAAAAAAAAGGCCAAGAGGACGTGGCAAATAACTTGAGTTTTTGGAGCACAAGGGCGGTATTCACTCCAAGACTGAAGCCCTTTCTGTTTCAGTTTATAACCCAGACTCTTATTCTGCTAATAGTTTACTAGCTGAACCACACGAATGTGATGTCACAATGTCAAGTATTATAATTAGTGTGTCATTCTCCTTTGATCATAATATAATACATTTTATCTGTCCACTTGTATTAGGCGCCCTTAGTATCACTGCAACTGGGGACATTATAATTTCTATAACTACTATGTGCAATTTATTAAATTACACTCCCATGAAATGCACTTTTAAACTTATAAACCAAAGCTCCCATGCAAAGTACTTTAACTTGTGCAGAATTTAGGCAATGCAACCTTTTTATCCAGCATTCATATTACTTTAAGTCAGCAAAAAAATGGGGGTAAATATTCAGCTGAAAAGACTGAACAATAAAGAGAAGTGAATGTTGGAATGAGTTTCCACTCTGGTCCAATACTTCCTGTTCACTGCTGGCCAGATGAAATAAGAGCAAAACAATCCCCATTATGCAGGAACAGCTGTGCTCCCCATCAGGGGAAGGAAACCCATTCTCTACAGTATATGCGCTCAGAATGTGTGACATTCCAGTGAAATCACATACACACTTCAGTGCATTCACAAAGGTAGTAAGTATATCAGTGATTCTGAGAGTGCTGCAAAGGAGCAGTGGAATGCATACCTGAATATGAATATGAAAAAAAATGGAAATTGTGGTAATACTTACATTACAGTCTCCATGTCATACACATTAGAAGGTCCCACTTTATATTAACTTTCTTTAACTACCATACTTAAATAAGTGTTATAGGTACAATGTGTTTATTGTGTTTATGCTACAGTATATTGCTTTTCAGGTGGGATACAGGTAAGATTAGGGAGAGGATTCATGGTATGGTTAGGTTTAATAGTGAGTTAAGGTAGGGTCAACAGTGTAATTATACACTCTAAAAAATACTGGGTTCAAAACATCCCAACCGCTGGGTCAAAACAACCCAATAGCTGGGTTTGTCCCTTTTTAACCCAGCGCTGGGTTATATTTAACCCAGCATTTTTTAGAGTGTAGATGTGATTACAGAGATGTAATAACATGCAGGTATTTTTAAATGTAAGTACAATGTAAAAACATGTATAGGTATGTACACAATAAATGCATTGTATGTCATGCCATAGTAGTTCCTGACACTTATATATAAAGGGGGCCCTAAGTTATTAAATTTGCACTTAGGGCTAAATAAAAAAATGTGCTGATATTTAATACAACTGTTGCTTATGTGATATTTCTTAAATATTAAAGGAACAGTTCAGCCAAAAATGAAAATTTGCTCAAATTTACTCACCTTCAGGCTAACCAAGATGTGGATTAATTTATTTTCTTCATCGGAAAAGATATGAAGATATTTTGCATTACATCACTTGCTCACCAATGGATCTTCTGCAGTGAATGGGTGCCGTCAGAATGAGAGTTCAAACAGCTGATAAAAACATCACAATTATCCACAAGTAATGCACACAACCCCAGTCCATCAAATAACGTTTTGTAAAGTGAAAATCTTTTCTTTTTTTATAAGAAATAAATCTATCATTAAGGCGTTTTAACTGGAAACCATTGCTTCTGGCCAAAATACGAGTCCATAATATGAGTCCATCCACCAACATATATGTTTAGTACTGTTTTGGACTGTTTTCGCTTGTATATAGTGCTTGATCTGTGTATATTTCTTTCCTGATCCAAGACAACTTTTTTTCAGACAAGGCAACTTTTTCACTTGAGAATGCAATATTATGCTTAGAGGACTCGTATTTTAGCCAGATGCAACATTTTGATGTTAAAAACATTAATGATGTTAATGATGGATTTGTGTATTACAGCTTTTCTCCTCACAAGACGTTGAACATTTGTAGACATGGTTTTATCAGCTGTTTGTACTCTCATTCTGACGGCACCCATTCACTGCAGAGGACCTACTGGTAAACAAGTGATGAAATGCTAAATTTCTCAATTCTTTCCGCTTTCCGCTCTACATCTTGGATGGCCTACATTAACTTTCAGGAAATTTCCATTTTTGGAAACTATTGTTTTATTTAACCTGTATCATTACAACAAGGTTGACAAAATGATAATAAAGTACATGGTTCATTATTCAGTATTTGACATGATGTGTAGCCAAGTATGGTGCCCCATGCTCAGAATATGTGCTCTGCATTTAACCCATCCAAGTGCACACATATAGCAGTGAGTAGCAACCATACACACACACCCCCAGGAGCAGTGGGCATCCATTTTTTTGTTGGGACGCCTGGGGAGCAGTTGGGGGTTCAGTGCCTTGCTCAAGGGTCTCACCTCAGTCATAGTATTGAAGGTTGAAGACAGCACTGTACATTCACTCCTCCCACCTACAATCCCTGCCAGTACAGCGACTCGAACCCCCAGCCTTTGAGTTACAAGTCTGACTCTCTAACCATTAGGCCACAACTGCCCCATTTATTTATGTAAATGCACAGCAGAGTGACTACGTAAACAACATGGAAATATTAAACAGCTATTGCATGACGATCAGCTGCGGGTTGACTGATCATAAGTGGGGTTAAAGGTGTGGTGGGCATGTGGTAGGTTTGGGTGGGTGTGCACTCTGCATCAAACTGTATAACATAAACTGATGACATTTCCTGCACTGCAGTAGTTCTCAAACGCATGTTTGATGTGTTTATTAAAGTTATTATTAGTTAAGGTTATTCTTGGAATTCAATTGCCTGCAATAACATATATTGACATAATAATTTAGTGGTTAGACGCTGAATTTGACTTCAAAAAATAATGCAAGAAATTTGGGGAAAAGGAAAAAAGAAGAGAGAGAAAGTCCCATTTAATTAGGCTATACTCAACTTATTAGTCTCAGCACTAGACATAAGATGCAATCGTTAGTTCCACAGACTTTATAGTATTAGATGGAAGCCCGTTTACCTCGTATGTAGCTTATTTTACTCTCGTCCAACAGACTGGATGAGGATGCTCCCATTGTTCAGCGTGGTTTGTCAGCGGTCCCGAGCGGAGGCTTTTTCCCGTTTGTCCGATTCGGTTTTGAAGCGTCGGATAATGACGAGCGCAAATAAACTGTGACTCAAGCATCTCACACTTCCTCAAACTACAGCGCCGCCCGCGTACCCTCTCAGCTCTGTCAACATCTGTCAACAGGCAGCTTTGGCCATTTTTATAGAGCAATGTTTTGACGTTAGACTGCCTTGTTACTTTATTAATGTATTTACGGATATTTGCAATATAGCCTACACCTCTTTGTATATTACCGCGAAAAAAAGTTATTTTGAAAAACTTTATATAAAAAGACAGTAGGCCTATTAACCGTTTGCCAAGATATGGCATAAAAATGGTTTGTTTGAAAAGTATTAGAATGTAGAACAGAACTTACGTAGTTTATAACTGTTTTAATCAGCCTAGGTATTCTAGGGATCGTCTACAAAGTGCAAAACGAAGAAAATAAACGTGGGGTGCGTCCTCTGGTTGGAATTAGCCTAACGTTACTCATAACTAAAAAAAAATAACAGTAAGATGCGCACAAAGACGCAAAGTTTTACACATGTATTTTGTGTGTTGCTATTCAGAATGAATCCTGTTTAATAATATAAATAAATAAATAAATAAATAAATAAATAAATAAATGAATGAATGAATGAATGAATGAATGAATAAAGTTTACAAGCTATAATGTATGTGACGCTTATGTTATACTCTACTCCCCCCTAGTGGCAAACTTTGTGTCACTCTCAATGCTAAAAAAATATTTCATCTCCATGGTGTTTTGTGTTTGGAAACCCTTTTCCACCACATAAGAAAAAATGTTTTGGTAAATCATGATGACATAACATTTCGAATTTTTATCCCATAATTATGGCTTACCTCATATTTTGACTTCGATATAACTGTTTAGTCATAATTAAAATTTTTATATCATATAAGTATGCTACCTCATAATTTAGACTCTTTATTTCATAACTTTATTCAATTTTATGTCATAATTTATAGGTATTTAGATTTTAATTTTTGTCATAATTTTGACTTTTAACTGCTTTAATTAGCCTATGATATATCTCATAATTTTGACTTAGCATCTCATATGTTTGACTTTTTATGTCAAAATATATATTTTTTTACCAAAACATGTTTGTTTGTTAGTTTGTTTTATTTCTTTTATGTGGCGAAAATGGATTTCCATTTTGTTCTACCTTAAACGCTAGTCAAATAAACCTTACGTTTTTTTCTAGGATGATCAGGTTAAACCATCAACACAATGCTATCGGCCCGTCCAAGCCACTTTAATAAGACCATCTGTGGTGCATTCATCTTGGGGAAACACTTTGGACAGGTGGCTAGTCCATCAAAGAGCAAGCATACACAGAATTACAACGGCTGTAGTCTTTTCAATTTTCTTTCAACATTATCATATTTAAATATTAACTTGTAACAAACTTGAACATGACGTGTAGTTTATGCAACTGAACTGAAAGAAAGAAAAAACTATGCCCCACATCACATGTCTTTTTGCACACTGAAGTGTTAACAAGTGTTAACCGTTAACTGAAAAGATAATACTACATTTCCCAGAGTTCATTTAGGCCCACTGAATCCGCCATATTGAGCTCGGCTGAACGCGCTGGCAGGGAGAGAGTGTTCATAACATTGAGATGTAAGTATGTAAACAGCTGCGTTTTTGCAGAAATAGATGCTTTGTTGTTGTCGAGGTTGACGTTTACATTAGCGCAAAGGGTATTATATGTTACAAGCTCGCCGACAATGTCTTCATAATTGATTTAAAGGAGCCTGTAAATACAGCATCTGGATTAGCAGAGAGAGTTAGCCGTTAGCTCTACGTTTTCATGACAGCGCAGGAGATAAAACCTTTCCGCCTTTTTTTTTCTCTACCGTTTATTTTGTTTTGGGGTCTTTAATAACTGTCCGTTGCTGGAGAGCAGGCACTGTCATGCAATAGACGCTTTGTACGTGTAACGTTAGGTAGATGCTTTGTGTATTCATTGACACAAAGAGGTAGAAGTGCCTTCAGGAGCTCATTTTAGTCTGCTAGCTCTGCGTTGTTAGACAGATTCATCGTTTATTATAGCATGATGACCTAAAAAATAAACAAAACAAAAATGCAAAATTTATGACTAAAGTAAACATGGATAGAGGCTAAATTGACTAAATGAAGTGGCATCTTTCAGTTTAAACCAACGGCAACAGACCATAACATCCCTCAGATGTCAGTTGATGCTGTCCTTGTCCAAAACAATGCTATTTGAAAATTATGTTTTGTGTAAATTCTAAATAGAAAATATTTAATGATGTATGAATTTTGACATTTAACACACAATAATCTTTTTGTTTTGAGTTAGTATCTCACCAAAACTCTTCATATCGTAGATTTTGATATTCGTTTCTGCACATCATGTCAATACTGTTCACTTTGGCTGTTTTTCACAGAGGTGAAGGACACACAGTGTATAAAGATGACACAAACGGTCCAGACGAATGGGATTCAACCCCTCAGTAAGACCTGGGAGCTTAGTCTCTATGAATTACAGAGAACCCCACAGGTAAGAAAATTAATTCACCAGTTGTTGTCCACAGTTGGTACGTTCAGATTTTTCAAGTGCCATTCTGACTGTATCTTATGGCGCTTTTCCACTGCGTGGTACGGCTCAGTACAGCACGGCACGGTTCGGCTCGGCACGGTTTGCATTTCCACTGCAGTTCAGTACCGCTTTAGAGTGGGCGGGATTATTCACGTCGTTATAGTTGCGCCGCCTCTACTACCACGACTCCTAAAAAAAACGTTTTCATTCCGCGTCGCCCTATCAAGCTCTCGCTGGATCCGCTCCTCTGCTATCAACGAGAGGAACGCCTGTACTTCCACAACAGACAACAAAACTTTTTGGTGGTTTAAAAAAAAGGTGCGCTCGTTCAAAACAGTTGTGTTCGATGCTTCGCTGGCTGTGCTGATTTAAATCTAGCGGTTCTTTTGTGTTTGTGTCACAAGTTCAGTGACGCAGGTAGTGACGATTCTCTCCGGCCAATCCGTGATCAGCAGAGTTTACACGTCACGTTTTGGTAACGGTACGGTTCACTTGGAACCCCAACCGAAGTGGTACTAAAAAAAGTACCAGGTACTGTACCCAGTGGAGAACCCCCCAAAAGTGAACCGTACCGTGCCGTACCATGCAGTGGAAAAGCACCATTAGTGAAACCCTGTCGAGAGATGGTTCTTGGATATGTGGTTTAGTGTCAGACCCTCAATGCAGCTTCTGTGGTGTTGTGATCCCATAGGAGGCCATCACGGATGGTCTGGAGATCGCCGTGTCCCCACGCAGCTTGCACAGTGAGCTCATGTGTCCTATCTGCCTGGACATGCTGAAGAACACCATGACCACCAAGGAGTGCCTGCACCGCTTCTGTGCCGACTGCATCATCACTGCGCTCAGATCGGGGTGGGTTTGTGTAATATGTAGGATTTATGTATTCAGATTTATGTGATACTGCACATTTTCTTTGTGATGTGAAAGAATACAAGATAGTATCACTGGATTTTTTTCCCCAGGTGTAATATGATTGTATTAAGATATGAAATAAAGACCAAATCAAAATTGGAAATTCTTATATTTTATGGAATATTGCAGTGTATATTATGTGATTTATTTGTTCACATCATTTTTTATTTATTTATTTTTTAAGTGTCCTTTAATCTTTGATTCTTAAAGGGTTAGTTCACCCAAAAATGAAATCCGGGGGGTGAACAAAGGCCTTTTGTAGCGAATCGATGCATTTTTGTAAGAAAAATGTCCATATTCAAAACGTAATAATCACTTTAATCTAGCTTGCGCTCACTCTTGTACACGGAAGCAGTTCCGGGAGGATGATGTATGAGATCAGCGCTGCGCATGTGCCGCTCAGAAGTGGCGAACGTGGAAGCGCAGGGGAGAGATCAAAACAAAACAACGGTCAAGAATTAGAAGTACAAAACGAGGATTTGT